TGATCCTCCAGGTTAATATTAATTTGGTTGTACCCGAAATAAGCATCAAGGAAACTCATTAACTCGTGCCCGGCTGTCGCATCGATCATTTGATCAATGTTTGGTAGTGGGAACGAGTCTTTCGGTACGCCTTATTCAAGTCCTTATAATCTACATACATGCAAAATTTATTGTTCTTCTTAGGAACTACTACTAAATTAGCTAGAAAGTCTGAATACTTTATCTCTCGGATCGATCCGATATCAAGTAAGCGAGTTACCTCTTCTTTGACGAATTTATTTATGGCCTCCGCTATAGGGCGTTTCTTTTGTTCATCGGAGGTATGTTTGGATCCAAACTTAACTTTTGTACGGCCACCTCTGTTGGGATGCCTGTCATGTCCGCATGAGACTACGCAAAACAATCGACATTATATTTAAGAAGTTCAATAAAGCAAGCCTTGAGCTCAGGGTGTAGTCATATCCCCAAGTGGAATTTCCTTTCTAAGAACTCTTAGAACAATGCAACTTTCTCGAGCTCTTCCGCCATGGATTTTGTTGCATCCGTCTCTTCTGGTACTTGGAAATACCTTGGCACCTGATAAGATTCCGACGCTTCTACCCCAGGCTAACTTTATTTGATTCGGGAGTGGGCATCGGTTCCTGTAATTGCTATGCCGCGTGCTCCTTTCCTTTGTTATTGGAGACCAAAATTGCATTCATCTCCCTTGTTGCCAGTTGGTCGCCCCTTTTATGTTTAATTCCTTCGAGCGTCGGAAATTTCAGTAACTGATGATACATTGATGTTACAGCTTTAATCTTGTGCAACCATGGTCGTCCTAGAATAATATTATATCTCATATCACCATCTACCACTTCAAAAAGAGTCGTTTTCATCACTCCTTCGATGTTTGTAGGCAATAGAATCTCTCCTAAAGTTGTCACGCTCGAGAGGTTGAATTTGGCGAAGAGTTTTGTGGTCAGAATGATGCTTATGATGAGTTAGCTTGATCCAATACTCTCCATTGTACGATATTGGCATAACTCCCTGGATCCACTAGAACGTTTAATTTTAAAGTCTAGCACATTTAAAGAAATCACCAGTGCGGTAGCAGTAGTCCGTCTGCATTCTTTTCCGTGAAAGTGATATCATCTTTGGCAACTTCCCGGAGTATTTTGCTATGGGTTATTGATACTTTCTTCTTTCTTGATGCCAAGAAGGTGATGCAGTTGGTCTCGTTCCCCTGAAGATCATGTTGATTGTCTGGCGCGGGGGACCTTCTCCTACTTTCGAGGGTTCTGCGTTATCCCGGTTGCGACCGTAGTTGTTCTTGGCCATATCACTTAAAAATTCTATGAGATGACCATTCTTCAATAGTGTTGCTACTTGTCCCAGAGATGTCGGCAGTCTTGGGTACAGTGGCCATTCGTCCCTTGGTATTCACACTACAGGTTGGGATCCCTCTAGCTTGGATCAAATCTCATTGGCCTCGGGGATCGTGCTTCTTTGATGTTTCTCATAATGGATACCAAATCTACTACACTGATGTTGAAATTTTATTCTAATAGTCTGGGGTAGGAAGAAACTCGCTTACCTAAAGCTTATTTATGCTGCAATGATTTATTGTTCCGACCGCGATCAGTCATTCTATCGGTAGCGAACCTGTCTACTAATCGGCAACCTCTTCCGCGGCCCTCGGTCTATTCGTAGGGCAAAAATCGACCCCTTGAAGACCGTCTGTCCGTGTCGAAATTGTCTTTTGATTTTTCGTTATTCTTCTCCCATCCCTTTGCTGATGACGAGAAACAAACCTGATCATCTTCGATCCTTATCTTTGACTCGTATCGGTTATGTACATCCATCTGAGTCGTTGATTGGAACTCAAGTACACTTTCCTTCAGTTTCGAGGAAGCGTCCAAACTTTTGATATTCAGTCCTTGATAAATGCTTCAGTCGCCCATTCATCTGGAATAGTTGGGAGCAACATCCTCTCCTTCTGAAATCAGGTAACGAACTCTCACAACAATCAGATTCTCCTTGTGCGATTTTGAATATGTCGGCCTTTCAGGCCTGCACCTTTTTGGCCCCAGCATGAGCCTTAATAAAAGAATTCGCAAGCATCTCAAAGGAATCTATGGAATGCTCGGGTAACAGTGAATACCAAGTCAAGGTTCCCCTCGTAAGAGTCTTTCCAAATTTCTCCAGTAAAACATATTCAATCTCGTGAGGAGCTAAATTATTCCCCTTTACCACCATTGTATAGGTGATAATATGCTCCTCAGGGTCTATAGTTCCATCATACTTTGGCATGTCGGCCATTATAAACCACTTCGGGATTAATTCTAATGTCGCGCTTGGTTTGTACGGCAATTGAGTATACTTCTTTGAGTCCGGTCCTTTCAGTACTGGTGGTGCGCCTGGGATTTGGTCCATGTGGACGTTTACCTCTCTCATAAACCGTAAAAGTTCATTCTTGAAGGGATCATTTTCGTTATTGCGACTGGATCCACTCCCCCAGCTCCATCAAAACCAACCTTGCCCCTCGAGATGTTGTTGTTGACCTTCTGCGTTATTTGATTAGCGGGAGCGCCGGGAGAAACTGGGTCTCGTCTATTTGCATTATTGGAAGCCCCCGATAATGCCTGTTTCAACCCCTTCGTTACCTTATCATACCGTGTGAGGTGGCCTAGAATGATCGCTTGTTGCTCTTGTAAGACCCTTACAGCATCAACAACATGCTCCTCTTCACCATCATCGGAAGTTGCCTCCCGAACATGTCGCGGGTATTGCCTGTCGTGGATCGGCGTGGCATTGTTCCCCTCATTGTGGGTATCACTGATTAAATCCTCGAAATGAGGCTGGTCTTTTCGAACTCAGGATTGTGTGTGTTATTAACACCGTTTTCTGCCATTTCTTATGATTTTTTCTAAGACAAATAATCAAAATACGTTAGCAAAAGAGCAAGGATCAACTTAATTACCCGGTTGTCTAGGCTCCACGATGGGCGCCAAACTATTTACCCGTAAAATAGTATAATTGAATTTATACGTAGGTTCTAGACAAGTGAATTAATTTGATCCTGTAATAATGAAAGAATTAACGAAATGTGCAATACTTAGCCTTGAAATGCAGATGAAATCACATAAAACAGTAATTCCGGGGACAGAACTTCTGAGCCCAACAATAATGAGACTAAAGAACAAGAAAGTAAATTATATAAAGCTTTGAATATATTATAGCATAAGTTTGCCAGAAAAGTCGTCTCTCTACAATGGTAGAAGAGCTTACTATTTATAGTTATATCTAGGGAATAAGGACCGAGGATCAAGCCCCTCTTCAATGCCAATTATGAGTGTCATTGAAGAGTGTGTAATGACAGGCATGAATGCCATATACTTTTGTAACGGACAGTATACTAAATGTTGTGAAATATTCTCCATCAAATGCTACCGGGTGGAGGGTATTTATTACCTCTTTATGAGTGTCATTCCTTCTGGTAACAAACGAGATAATTACCTTCAGTTCTGACTATCCCTACCTTATGTCCCACGTGTCATTCTTTTAAGCGGCTACCTGGCGTAACATATTTTATAGTATACACCTCTCCGTAAGAACAAAAAATGTGTAAATGTAATTTGAGGCATATTTCAAGATATTGTATACATGGGTCTTTTCTAATTTTGGGATGTTTTATGTTTGAGAAAGAAAATGGAGTTATTTCACTTTTTCTACATTTTCAATTAAAAGTATGAGACATAAATTCTTTCATATAAGTGAACAAAAAGATCCAACAAGGCAATAGTTAAAATCCTATTTATTCTTAGAACTATAAAACAAGATGTTCAAAAACTCTTTGCTCGCTTCATTTGACAATTGAAAAGCAAAAGTTCTTATCTTACCATATACTCCATAGTACTAGAGTGATATCTCATCGATCGAAATTCCCATTTTTATACCACATGAGCTATTATATGACGCTGTCAAAACCACCCCATTTAATGACATTGCAATTAATTGCCTTAAATTAGAATTCTAATTCTATTTTGCCAATTCATTTCACAGTCTTCAAAGTCAAAGCATAAATAAATGCTGCATTTAACCCAACCAATGACCTCTCTAACAGTATCTTCTCTTTTCCAGTGCTAAAAATTGCTACAACAATTTACTCTCTTCGTTCGCTTTTAATTGTATACTAATAGTATACTAAAAATATATTTTACTTTTAGTTGTCTATTTTAACAAATCAAAAGAAAGATAAAAAAGAAATTTCTTATTTTACCGTTATCATTAACTACTGAGTATTTTTTTCAAGATTTTTTGAAAAATATCATTATTATGAATATTATGATAAAATGTATATTTCATTTATTATTTCTTAGTAACAAAAGTGTAAAGTTTACTGTGGATGTGTAACAGCTTGTTTGGATGATTGTTACACATTGTATCATATCGTATTATTACTTTAAATACAATGTTTGTTTTGATTGCTACTTAAATTTTATTGTATCGTATCGTTAAATCCGTCGTTACATAACGACGAAATGTGTCACTTTATGTAATGACCGATTTGGTGTGGTCGCGTCGTTACCTTGTCTTTTTCTCTCAATCTCACCCTTTATTATTATTAAATTATTTTATTTTATCATTTACCCTATCTTTTTATATAGTAATTTTACCTTTCATCATAATTTTTCTTTATAATATTGCAAGTTTATTCTTCATAATCCTGGTGCATGATATCATGAAACGATGACAAACGACACAATCTATCCAAATATTATATTTATTAAACAATACAGTACAATATAATACAGTACGATATGATACATTATGAAACGAAGCGTAACAAGCATCCAAACAAGCAGTAAAAGTGAATGGAGGGAGTAAGTTATATACTTTCATTACCGAATAATTACCCTTTAGTCCTTAAAGTCCATTTGTACAGATAACTAGATGCTTGCCAAAATCCCATAAATCTTTCTTCTTCTAATTCTCCTTCTATTGCACCCCCCCCCCCCCTCTCTAATGGTCATCTTTACATGGAGCCCTGAATTTGTGCAGTAAATTCTTCGGAAAAAAGATGCAGCCATTTTTTTGTTTAGCATTCTTGTTTTTACTACTTAATTTGGTTGTAGAAGTGGCCAATGGGTCTCTTAGACAGTTGAAGCTTTATGAATTTCAAAAAGGACTTGAAGAGAAATTCCCTTCTTATTCCTCTTTCATCTATACCTCATCACCTTCACCATCTCCAGAAGCTTCTGTTCCCAATTACTCGAATGCCAAAAAGGTAATAATAATAATAATGCTCCTTCATCTTACACTATCTTTTTTTCTCTTTTTTAATTAATTATTCTCCCTACTGTTTTAACTCGTATTTGTCCCTTTTTCTCCTTAACAACAGAGAAATGAATTTTTCGTACTTCGTATCATTGTTGTGTCTATTATAATTTCATGTCATTTCCTTTTACATTTTGAAAGAAAACAATGTTTTTTATCCTTCATAAAAATTGTTTTCTCGTCCTCTATTTCTTACCTAATCTAGAGCTGAATTATTTTAACTTTGATATCTTGACTTCCTTTTTTTTTGTTTTGGCTTCAGAGTGAAGGAAGGGTAATTTATCCAATAGGGTATGGTGCTGATCCAACAGGGACAAGTGATAGCAGTGAAGCCATAAAAGAGGCTATTGGTGATGCTTTGAAATTGCAAAATGGACTTGGTTTGCTGCCTGGTATTAGTGATTTGGGTGGTGCCATTATTGATTTCCAAGGTGGTAATTACAGAATCAACAATCCTATAGTATTTCCTCCTGGCGTTGGCAATATTGTGGTATGTGCTACTTCCTTTTCTTTTTTTGGTTTCCCACCGGTGTTTGGTGTCCGTATTGGATGGAGCCCGACTATATCCGGATTCGCATCGCGTAGGGCCCCATTTGGGTGAAATGCTCCCTATCAAGGATTTTTCCATACACAAGGCGCGAACTTTAAAGAAAGAGCAGCTCAATCCGCGGAGGCAGTGGTGTGCTACTTCCTTCACTTCTTTATTCCTTAAAAACAATTCTTAAAAGCTGTTATATTTAATAAAAGCTGATAGCGTAAAAAATTTCTAATAGTATTCATCTGAAGAGTGAATCATGGCTGAATGTGAATGATTTGTTGGACATAATTGTGGTCCATGACAAATGAATCCATATTAGGGAAGTTCTGTCACTCTCCTTCAATAGTTGGTAATCATATATGACACCAGTTTATAACGCATGCTTTTCCAAGTACAAGACATTATTTGTACAATCACACGATATACTTACTTTGTAACGACGCTTCACTTCTCATGTGATGGCTATTCAACTTTCAAATGAGAAACTAAATTTAAAATTAAGTTAACAGGATTGGAAGCTTAATAGTATTATTTTCTTAATAGTAACTTCGGATTGGATTGGGCAGTGTTGAAGCTGGAAAAGTAAGTATGAATAGGGACCAAGACTAGTAATTAGATTTGCTCGTGGGTAGTTGTCGTGAACATGAGTGCAAGTTATCTACTCCTTGAGTCCTTGACATGTGTCGTCCTTTATTGGAAAATGCATGTTATGTCCAACTTTTACTCTCCGCTTTTATCTAGCTTTATGACAAGTGGCGTAGCTATGTGAAGTGTGTTTGGCTAAGCATATAAATTGATCAAATGATTTATAAGTATTTTTTGACTTATTTATATGATTGGTAAATATTTAAAGTATTTATAAGCCAAGTGTTTATAAGTTAAAATCAGTCATAAGTTGGTCATCCCCTACTTATCGTTTTTCAGCTCATAAGCATTTTTAGTTTGAGCTATACTTTTACTAGTTTTTTCAAAATAAATTTTCTAACTTTTTCTTTATTCCATATTCATTTTTCATCTTTTTCTTTACTAAGAAAATTTTTAATTTATAATCTTTTGTAAAGTTTTGACGGTATTTTAGTCATTCTAACAAAAAATAGTTTATCGTCACTTTTCTACCAAGCATATCACTTACTTATTATAAATTTCAGCACGCCTATCCAAATACGTAAATGCTTATTTAAAAAATCAGTTTTAGCACTTAAAATATTTTTCACCATGCTTATTAGTTATTTACAATCAGCTAATCCAAACGGGCTCTATGTCTAGGAGTACCAAGCTACGAAGTTAAAATAAAAATGAAAAAAAATATTTTTTTAATAAATCATAAATTTACTTGAATATTATTAATTAAAGTTAAATGTACTTAAATTGTATCTGACCTATTTAGATGGTTTAAATTCTACCTGACCTTTTTAGATGGCTTGTTTAAAAGAGACGTAGGCAGCAGCAAGACTATTAGTAGGGTGACATTTGGATATATTCTTTTTCTTTGTCATATTCGATGACGATTTTGTAGAAGTATTTTCGATGAATGTGATTAATACAATGGCGAAGTCACATAGTCATAAGTGTAGTCACTTGATCACTGTTCGTTGAAAAACTGCATTGTATATATAGGTAACATATTATGTTTTAGAGGTATATAACACATATTGAACACCCTTTGTCGGGAATGTTTTTTCACTTCTTTCAAATTTGAATATCTTAGAAAAATTCCTAGTTTCGCCACTGAATTAATATGTTTATGCTTGATAAAAGAAAGGCAAATTAGTGACTTGAATGAACAAGATTTCGAAAGTAATATTAATTAAGGTTATTCTGTTAATTAAACTATTTTACTACATTCTTTCGGACTTCTTAAAAGACGTAGCCATAGGGTGTCTGTTGTGAAAAATGGCCAGCTAGGATAGCTTTCTGAATGGCATTGCACCTATAGAAACTTCATACTCCTTTTTCTCTCTTCCTTTTGCTCCTTTAAGTTAATATATGATTAATTAAAAGGAAAAAAAAAAAGTCCCAGACGATCGAGTAGCTTTTGATAAACCGATACCTGTTTATTATTAATGAGATATGCTAAAGAGAACAGAACTTTTGATTTTTTGGAGTTAAAAGATGTTCTTTCTTAAAAGATGCAATGGTTGGCAAAAGGAGAAAGAAAAAAGGAGGTTTTTCCCCTTTGTTAGACCAGGGCGTCTTTCCTTTCCATTTTTTTTGCTTTTTTCTCCTTTAGATCTTTTTTTTCCTGTTTAATTATTCTGTATTTTGTTGGATTATTCTCTTTTCCAGGTATGCTTTTTATATTTACTTTATTACTCGTACTCTTTTTTGTAATAATGCAATTGATGTGTCTTACGTAAATGTCCCAAATAAGTTACAACTTACTAACATCTAGTCATTAATTATAGACTTACCAAAAGTAGCCAAACACATATAAAAATTGAAAACCCAAATAAATAAGGTTCTTTCTCTTCAAGAATTACAAAGATCTCCTTCCATATTTTTAAGCATGATCAACAATATTAGATACAAGACGTAAAGAAAATTTAATGGATAGCGTAGCAAATAAGGTGATAAAATATATATATATATATATATATATATATAAGATATCAAAAGTCTAAGCAAAAAGGGATATTTTTCAATGGGTATGGTTGAAATTCATTGAAAACATATATATGAGTCAATATACAAATTTGAGGAAGATTGGAGGTGATTTAGACTGATTTGGTATCAAAATTTGTAGTTAAAATCGAGTTCAAAAAATTTTTCAACGGCACATGTATCAAACATATATCACATATGCATCACACACAGGGGTATACATGGATATATATATATGTGATACACATTTGATACAAATATGATACATATGTGATACAAAAATATACATGGTGTGATATATATATTATTATTTTCTTTTTCAAATTTTCAATTTTAACCACCTAAAAACCCTGTCAAATCATCTCAAAACTGAGATTCAAACTCCTTAAGATGTACCCAATCTATTCTCATAGCACTCACTCAAAAAGAAGCAAAAATTTAACCTTTTTTGGCTACAAATATCTAATTGGCCAATATTAGTTATATTTAATGAATTGACCAATTTTTGTAATAAGCTACTTATAAATGGACATAGCTGGTAGTTTCCCCGCAAACGAATACCTTAGCTGCCAAGCCCATTGGGCTAGTATTCCCCGTACATTTTAGAAGAATTAATCCAAATAGCCGCCATTTATTCTCTTAAATTAAAAGTAGCCAACGAATATATATATATATATATATATATATATATATATATATATATATATATATATATATATATAAAACTGTGTATAATCAATAAATACCGGCTAGAAAACATAAATATTTAATCTGGACGGCTATTTGTGTAACAATCCTACATGGGCTCTTTACATAAATAACCGGGATGGATTCATTGTTTGCTTGTTTAGCCGATATGCATAGATTATACACGATTATATATAAATTATATATATATTATCTCTGGCTATTTTTAGTTTAAACGGTTGGGTAAACAACTATGGTTAATTCTTTCTTTTTTTTGTTTCCCCTGTTTTCTCTTGCAATAACCTGAAAAACCATACGATGTTGTCTTTTTCCCCCTTTCTTGCCCTATATATTTATATTTTCATAGTTGTGTTTCTTAATACCAAAAAGTTGACATAATCATTGGTGAATTGCCTTAATATTTCAGGTCAAAGGAGGAACAATAAGAGTCTTCTTCTTCTTCTTTTGTTTCCCCTGTTTTTCTCTTGTAATAACCTGAAAAACCATATGATGTCTTTTTCCCCCTTTCTTGCCCCATATATTTATATTTTCATGGTTGTGTTTCTTAATACCAAAAAGTTCACATAGTTATTGGTGAATTGCCTTAATATTTCAGGTCAAAGGAGGAACAATAAGAGCATCCGATACATTTCCAGGCGATAGGCATCTAATTGAGCTATGGTCACAAGATTCTCCTAAGCTTGAAAAAGACTACATTTCTCACCATGGTAACATTTTCGATAGGTGGGACCAAAACTTCGCGATTCGCTACGAGGGCATTACGTTCCGGGACATCCTCTTCGACTCGGGCTATCGAGGAGGAGGTTTATATGTCATTGACTCAGCTAGAATTCGTATAACAAGTTGCTTTTTCGTTCACTTTAGTACGGAAGGAGTTCTCGTTCAGAGAGGCCACGAGACTTTTATATCGGACACTTTCCTAGGGCAACATCCTACAATTGGCGGCGATAGAGGTGAGAGGGATTTCTCAGGCATAGCTATTGATCTTGCTAGCAATGACAATGCCATTACTGATGTTACTATCTTTTCATCAGCAATTGGGATTGTACTTAGGGGTGAGGCTAATATTGTTACAGGGGTACATTGTTACAATAAGGCAACATATTTTGGTGGGGTTGGGATATTAGTTAAAGCATCCCAAAATAGGATAGATAATTGTTACCTTGACTATAACTCTATAGTCATTGAGGACCCTTTCTTAGTTCACATCTCAAATGGGTATTTTCTTGGAGAGGGTAACGTTGTCTTGAAAGCGATTAACGGTCGAATTTTCGGACTAAATGTCATTAACAACATGTTTAGTGGAAACCCTTCAAAAATGACACCAATGTTGAATTTGGATGGAGAGTTTACTGATATTGATCAAGTTGTGATTGACCAAAATAATGTGAATGGTATGAGCTTGAAGTCAACTGCTGGAAAATTGACTGTTGCTGGAAATGGGACAAGTTGGGTAGCTGATTTTTCTTCAATTCTTGTTTTTCCTAACAAGATAAATCATGTACAATACTCATTTTATTGTAGAGGAGGGGTTGCTGGATTTCCTGCACATGCTGTAACAAATGTATCAAGTAATGTTGTGGTTATTGAGAGTGAAAAACCAGTTGATGGAGTGGTGTCAGTTTTTGTCGACCAACATAATATTGTGGGTGAAAAGAACTTTCTAATGTAAAAAAAAATAAATTATATGGGAAATATTGTTTGTTGCTGTTATTATATGCCTTCTTCTCTATACGAAATGCTAGTTGACCTATAATTGAAACAGTGATTATCCACTATTTTTCTCTTTTTGGTGATTGAAACTCTCAACCTAAAGAATAGAAGTGAAAGAACTTTATCATTAAAACAACCGTCACACATAATTAAGCTGTGTCATGTATAAATTAATTAGGCTAAGTGCAATTATGCTCATATGTTTAGGAACTAATTTTAAAGACATCCAAACAGTGGTGGAAATAATGGGACTTTTGTTAAAGCAAAAGGAGTTAGTGATGCATCTTTTCCTAGTCCTCCTCATCCTCCTCTTCACTTTTTTCTGTTTAAGCCAAAGAAAACTCACTAAGAATCCAAAAGAAAAGAAAAAAGTTTTGGATAAGGCATTAATTGTACTGCAATTTACAATCCGTGGATTGGAAGAAGTTGCAATTCTTTTTTGGTTTGGTAATAGAAGAAGTTGCAACTTAGCACTTCCAAATGTACACCTTATTATGCGCCACGGCCAAAATCCGTCCAAAGGAGTCGTGATGGCACATAGTCTCTAAACTATGTAAGTCTAACATTAACTGAATTAATATTGATATTTACTAACTTGAAATTAAATAACTCTGAATAAATTACAATTCCCAAAACCGGTGGTACAAGTCATAAGCCTTTCTAAGAGTAGTTATACAAAATAAATACAATGCTATTCCGGAACGAGAAGGAATCAATGGAACGTAAATACAAACAAAGGTGACTCTGAGGCCTGCGAACGCAGCAGTAGGTTACCGTGAATCTCCACCGCGATGACCCGCACAACTACTATCGATCAATACCTGGATCTGTACACAAAAATGTACAGAAGTGTAGTATGAGTACACCACGGCGGTGCCCGATAAGTATCAAGACTAACCTCGGTGGAGTAGTGACGAGGAACAGTCAAGACACCTACTGGTCAAATGAAATGAACAGGATATGATAATAAAATATCAAGATAAAGATAACGAGGTAATATCAACAGCGAAGAGAAATCGAAAAACAAACAGTAGGGACAATAAAGGGAGAACACAGGTAGTAACGAACGGTAATGAAGTAAATCAGATAACCAAGTAAATCAGATAACTAAGTAAATCAACACTAACATAACAGGGGCATAGACAAGTAAGAATGTATTCAAATAAAGAAGGCGATGCCAACTCAATCAATCACATCATGTCTAATACACAATCCCGACCATCTCAATCCTCAGTTTCTCATATCATAATCTCAACTTCCGAACCTTCAGCACACATGGCACCTTGTGCCCACATATTTTTCATCTTACTTTTAACAACAAAATCCACATGTTATACAATACATAATGTCCGCACAAAAGCACTCAAGATGTTCAAGAAGTCACATTTACATAATATAAAGTAAATTATAATTTTTAAACTAATTAGGAAAATCGGCGAGAAAAGATGAAGTTGTTTTAAGAATTCATTTGAGTAAAGAAAGTACTCCTTTCAATTAAAATACAACATCGAATGAATTATTACCTTTAACATGGGAGTTAATAACTTTAAACTTAGTAGAAATCCCTTTTTAAGTAAAATACAACATCAGACGGTTTAAGAGAATATAATTGAGAAACTAATTGAATTAAAGATGTAACAATTATTGAA